GGCTTCATTCTTTTAAAATACTCAGTAATGACTCAAGCATACGGCTATTAACATATACGCTAGTTGCCATTTTTTAATTGCCATGAGCCAAATATTTCTTCTATACAATTGATCCATTTATTTTAATGGCTGCCTTTCAATTTTCATCTTCCTTTTCTTGCTGCTACCCATCTATGTATGTAGACATTAGAGGAAAGAAATTAGTCACATTCTTTGATGGAAAGACTTTGTGTTAAAAGTGAACATTTTGAAGGTTTTTTAATTGGTGAGAGAAACTAGCCTAGAACAATGCTACCAGAAACTGACTGCAGATTGCCCCTTTTGAAGGCGCCATTATTATGAGCCAAGAGTTTGGTGTTTAAAAGTTCATCTTGAGGGAATAATGTGTAATATAATTTGAAATAAAGGTACAGTAATCTTTAAAAGAGCATTATAATGGATAACATTGTGAATGGGGTGAATTTGTTACATGAATAACTTTGATAAAGTTTTCGTGCACAGGCAAATGTATTCACTAGTTTCTATGTAGTGATCTGCTTTTACTTTGTGATTTGTAGTCCTCAAAAGACTTTTTTAAAAAAATAAAATCCATCCTTACCAAAAAAAAAAAAAAAAGATAGGGACACTGGAAAGTGTGGATTGGGGATGGGGCCAGGTGTGTGAGTTGTCTGTTGAGCATCCAGTTAGAGGCAGACACTCAGTCAGCAGTTGGAGGTTCAAACTGGAGCTCAGGAAAACCATTCGGGAAAGAGAAAGTTGATTCAGGGGCACCAAGACATAGGTGACAATGGAAGCCACCTGCAACCTGGAGATAGCTACGTTCACATGTACTTGGGAAGCAGTTATTTTTAAGTACAGTATCATCAAGATATTGCACGGGAAGTTCAGCTCAGTGGCTAGACAGCAAGGGTGGGGAAAGAGCTGATTTCTCATCTTATTTTCCCTAGTCCTTGGCATTTTTATGTAGTTAACCTACTACCTCAATATGAATTATTTTGGAAGAAAAAGGAAACCAAATTAAAAGCAGGCTCTAACAAGTAGGGCTCTGTTTGTTTCATCCAAAAGTATTACGTGTACCCCCTGCCCAAAAAAAGTCTTAAATATACTCTCCTCTAGGTATTTGAATTAGTTGAATGAGGCTGGGCTATAATTTAGGGCATAATCCTCTTCTTCTTCTTTTTGAGACAGGATCTTCCTCTGTTGCCTGGGCTGGAGTACAGTGGTGTCATCATAGCTCACTGCAGCCTCAAACTCCTGGGTGTTCCTCCTGCTTCAACTACCCGGGTGGCTGTGACTACAGGGGGTGTGCCACCATGCCAGACTAATTTTTTTATTTTTTGTAGAGTCAGGGTCTTGCTATGTTTCCCAGGCTGGTCTCGAACTCCTGGCCTCAAGTGATCCTCCTGCCTTGGCCTCCCAGAGCGCTAGGATTACAGGCGTGAGCCACCTCACCTGGCCATAATCCTCTTCTAAGAAACTGATTATCCATTAGTAGCATATATAAACATTAAAAAAATCATACATAAGTTGAGGTTCTGAGATAACCCCACTCACTCCAAATGTGCTGAAATGGTAGAGTAAATATAAGCAGAGAGAGAAAAAAAGAGATAGGTGGCCTCAAAGATGAGATGAAATCTCTTTGGACTGGAAAGGGGATAAAAATGCAAAATGGGAGTAAGGTTCTAGCCACCCACCTGCTCTGCTCTAGGACTAGATATAAGCAGTGGTGGCTGTGAGTTCACCTTTTCTACCACAATGGGAACTAAAAGTGTTTCATGTGAGACCAGGACCAAAATCCTGGCTTACAGCTTAAAACAGGAGTCAGGCTGGGACACTGCCTTCACAGACATCACCTCCTGACCAGGAACTCCCCTGAGCTGCTGACTGAATTGCTGATGGGATCTGTGTTGCCATCAATGTCACCTCCAGGAACATTGGAGCATTTTGTTTCTGGACTGAGTTTCAAGTTGGAGGCAGGCATAGAGTTAACTGAAACTCTTTTAGACTGTGAGAAGTAAAGATAAAGGAAGAGAGAGGGAGTAGAGAGCCAGAAACAAAATCTCCTATTCAAAATGAGCTTAAGATCAATATTTCAAACTGCATAAATAAAATGAATGCTAAGAAAGATGACAAACACTTCAGGAGTTCGAGACAAGCTTGAGCAAAAGTGAGACCCTGTCTCTAAAAAAAATAAAAAATAAATAAGATGACAAACACAATCAACAATTAGAACATAAATTTACTTCAGATAAGATTAATTGCATAGAAAATTTGACAAAGTCTTTAAATTAGGATGCTCACAAATAAATGAAAATATCCATAAAAATACTAAATGATGAAACAAAAACATGAAAATATGAAATAAAAATAGATGGATATGAAAAAGAAATAATTAGAAATCCTAAAAATAAAAAATATAGTCACTTAAAAACAAAAGGAACAGATGGGCTGAACTTTACACTAAACACAGTCAGAAGACAAATTAGGGAAATGGGATAGAGTGCTGAAAAATTAATCTAATATAAATAAGAGAGAGTCAAAGAGGTAAAAATATAAAAGAGTAGGTAGGAGGCACAGAGGACAGATCAAGAAACTCTAAATTACATTGAATAGGAATTCCAGAAAAGGAGATTGGGGGGAAGAGGGGAGAAGGAACATTAGAAGATTTAATAGCTGAACATTTTCCAATTTGCAAAAAGACATTTAAGATTTCTTTGTTTCCTATATATTCATTCATTCATTCATTCATTCATGCAACAAACACTTCATGAGCACTTACATGTTACATTCTGGACTGGGAACTGGGGATACAAATTGAATATAGTATAATCTTTCTCCTTGCTTAAGGGGTGAGCAGTTGGTAAGAGAGGTGGACTTGTTTAATTAAAATGTAATGTAAAAAGCTCTGTGATGAAACAGTGTATAAAGAATCAAGAAGGAGGAATAACACTCCTGTGAGGGCTGACAAAAGTTTCACAGAGGAGATGACAATTCAAGCTGGATCTTTGCGGTGAGAGTTCCCTAGACTGTTATTCTTCAGGAAGAGGAAACAAAAGTCAGGGCATATTTGATGGCTGCCGAGTGGTTCTGGATAGTTCTGGGTGGTTCTAGGTTCTAGAATACATGGAAGGGGAGTCTTTAAGATGAAAGTTAAAGGGACTGAATGGGGAAATATTTTAATCACCTTTTAAATATGGAAAACACTGAAAGTTTGCTAAGGGCATAAGCAAATGCATAGAATGAAGAGATATACCATATTCATGAACGTGATGATTCAGGATCATAAAGATGGAGTCTCCTCCAAAATAAAATTCAACTTAATGCTAATCAATATCCAAAGGAATTTTTGAAAATGAAACTTGACTGATTATAAAATTTGTGTAAAAGAAGGACTAAAAATAGCCATGATAATTTCAAAAAGAATGGGATGCACCCTACCAGCTATTTATATTTTTCTAGTAAGTTTTCACAATTAAAACATTATAGGAGTATTTCTCTCTTAAATGTTGAGAGGAATTCATTATGATCAACTTTTATGCCAAGATTTGGAATAAAATGAGTCAATTTACATTTTAAGGCAGTTACTCCGGCATTAGGGTAAGCAATGACCTGGGGCGGG